TGTGTATGTGTGTGTGTTTACTTGTACTTTCACAGGTAAGGTAAATTTCAAAAACTCTTATTATGTGATTCTCTTATGTGATTTGCGTTGCTATTGAATGAACCAATTGTTGAAAATTCAGAAAGGAGATCATACAGTTTAGTGATTAAACCAAATATTCTCACTCCATACAATGATCTTGTTTTGTGATTTTGAAAGTATGAGAAGTGTATAAATGTGATCATATTGGAGTTTTGCACTGAGAGTTATATATTTACACCTTACTTGTGAAAATAATACCAAGGCGAATATAAAAAATGTACTACTAACAATAATAATAATACTTTTATTATAGATGGAATGAGGCTGACCAGATGGAGGTTCCCCAGTCTCTCCTCCAGACGGATTGTTCTTCTGGGTCAAACTGGTGTTGGGAAGAGTGCAGCTGGAAACACAATACTGGGACGGGAAGGGTTCAGATCTGAGAGGAGAATGGATTCAGTAACCCGTGAATGTTCAGTCGCTCACGCCACTGTTTCAGGCAGATCAGTGTCTGTAATTGATACTCCTGGATTCTTCGATTCACAGATGGATCCTGGGCAGTTAAAGAAAGCAATAGCGAGAATTATGCATTTTTCCAGTCCTAGACCACACGTTTTTCTCATTGTGCTCAGAGTAGATGACAGATTCACTGATCAGGAGAAGCAGTTTCTTCAGAAGATTGAGATGGTGTTTGGTCAGGAGGTGTTAAAATACAGCGAGAATTATGCATTTTTCCATTCCTAGAACACACGTTTTTCTCATTGTGCTCAGAGTAGATGACAGATTCACTGATCAGGAGAAGCAGTTTCTTCAGCAGATTGAGATGGTGTTTGGTCAGGAGGTGTTAAAATACTCCATCATTCTCTTCACTCGTGGAGATCATTTGGAAGGAGAGTCTGTAGAGGAGCTCATTGAGGAGAACAGTAGATTAAGAGATCTAGTAGATCAGTGTGGAGGCAGATATCACGTCTTCAACAATAAAGATCAGAGTAACAGAGAGCAGGTGAATGATCTACTGCAGAAGATTGACACAATGATAGAGCAAAGAAAGGAACAGTACAGAAAAAGACAGTAGAAAGATGTGTTACACTTTTCAGATAGAGACAGTGGAAATTATGTATACATGAGTTGCTTTTAGAATATTCCTTTCATTATGAAAGGGATTTTAACGATCCTTTACTCCCAGCAAAAGTCCCCCTGGGAAAAAGAAAAAAGACAGTAATGATGTATCACATGCTGAGATTTTCAACGCCATCCAGTCCCTGAATTCCAAGCAAGATTCGGTTATTCGAAAGATTACTCACATTGAGAGCTCCATTGAGGTCACAACGGCTGCGGTGAACTCTTTGTCTGACACTATTAATCGACTCCTGTCAGATGTTGCCTCTCACGGTGAAAAGATCGGTAAGGCCGAATCGTCGATACAACGCATTCAACAGAAAAATGCTTCTCTTAAGCTCAGAGTGGAAGATCTAGAAAGGTATAGCCGCAGATGGTGTTTGAAACTACTCGGGGTGAAAGAACGTGACGACGAAAACATTCGAATGACAGCTATCAGTCATCTTGCCAGGGTGGTCCCTCGGATCAAGGATAAACTGGAGGAAGCTGTGGATGTGGTTCACCGTGTAGGCAAACAACGACCGGATGGTGATTCGGATTCGCTTCGTGACAAGGAGACACCGCAACATCATATGGATGGAAGCCAAGAGTTCCATTTACCTCAGAGAGAATGGTCTCCACATCAAAGAATTTCTCTCCAAAGCGGACATTGAAAGTCGGAATAAACTCTGGCCACTTGTCCAGGCGGCTCGAAAAGAAGGGAAGAAGGCCGGTTTCAGCGGTCCCTTTGCTGTTATTAACAATAAGAGAATCGCTGCCAATTCAGCACAGTATCCTTGAAATGACTTCACTCCAGGTTCGACTTTTTCTGCACGTCTGCCTAGTCTGAAATGTTGCCATTATTTTAAGGGCTTTTGACCACATTCCAATGATTATTCAATTCTTCTTGTACAAAACAGCGTTACAGCAGTTCCAAGTTAAGTGTTTAGTGTACTTTGGGATCACAGTTTTCCTTTTCCTTCCTTTTTTCCTGTAATTTTTTTGTTCATTTTTAATTTACATATACTTTATGGACAAATTTGAGTTTAATCATCTGAAAATTATTTCTTTAAATGTGCGGGGCTTAAGAGACAACACTAAAAGAAAGGCTATTTCCTGTTTTGTAGACGTTATAATGCAGATTTTTTTTTTTTTTTTACAAGAGAAATAATTTTTTACTTCTGATGCTGACAAAATTCTGGAAAGCTCAATGGGGTGATAGGATTTATTTTAGTCATGGGTCAAATAATTCAGCTGGTGTTCTTGTTCTGATTCATAAGTTTAAAGGAGATATTGTTCATTCCAAGTCTTCCCCTGATGGTAGATGGGTTATACTAACTGTTAAATTAGAAAATGCTATATTTATAATTTGCAATATTTATGGATTTAACTCTCATACTGCAAACAGTTCCTTTTTTGCTAATATTTCTGTCATACTATGTAACATGCTGAAAACAACCCCGAATGCCAAGTTAATAATTGCTGGTTACTTTAACGAAGTTCCTGATGTTTTTATGGAAAGATTTCCACAGAAAATGCATCCCCACTCTCAAAGTTGTAATATCATTGAATCCTTATGTAAAGACTTATCTTTAGTTGATTCATGGCGTTACATAGCAATGCATACGAATATACATGGAGTAATGTATTAAAGTCTTTAAAATCAAGAACTGATTTATTCCTCATTTCATCCAATCTGTTACAACATGTTCAAAACATTTCCCATCATTATGCTCCTTTTACGGATCATCTCTTAATTGATATGTCTTTGCTGACTGTTCAGACTTCTAACAGCCTCCGTGGCTACTGGAAATTTAATAACTCTCTTTTAGAAGACAGAATTTTCATTAAAAATATCGAAGCTTTAGCCACCGATATATTTAATTCAGAGATGACAGATTTTGTCTCTAAATGGGAGATATTTCAATTTAAATCCAGACATTTGGTTATTAAACGAAGTAAGGAAATAAAAAAGGATAGAGACCACATGGAAACAGAATTGTTGGATAAAATTGATAATCTTTGGAAAGTTCAGATTCTCTCCCCAATACAGGATAGTGAGCTCCATTCTTTACAAGCAAAACCTAATGACTTGTATACTAACAAGGTTAACGGAGCTTTCGTGCGCTCAAGAGCTAAGTGGATAGAAAAGGGCGAGAGAAACACATCATATGTTTTTGCCCTTGAAAAAAGGAATTTTAAGAGAAAATCATTTGTCTCTAAATGGGAGATACTTCAATTTAAATCCAGACATTTGGTTATTAAACGAAGTAAGGAAATAAAAAAGGATAGAGACCACATGGAAACAGAATTGTTGGATAAAATTGATAATCTTTGGAAAGTTCAGATTCTCTCCCCAATACAGGATAGTGAGCTCCATTCTTTACAAGCAAAACCTAATGACTTGTATACTAACAAGGTTAACGGAGCTTTCGTGCACTCAAGAGCTAAGTGGATAGAAAAGGGCGAGAGAAACACAGCATATGTTTTTGCCCTTGCAAAAAGGAATTTTAAGAGAAAATCATTGTCAGCATCGTGTATTAATAACTCCTTATGTGAGGACCCTAAATTAATTTCAGAATTTGTTAGCTCTTTTTATGAAAAATTATATCAATCTGACTTTAATTATGATATGTGCAAAGCGTTTACTGATGCTATTCAACATTTTATTCCATTGATAAATAATGACTTTAAAAATCTTTGTGATTCTGATCTTAAAAGAGAAGAATTGCAGTTAGCTCTTCGACATATGAAAAAAGATAAGAGTCCAGGACCTGATGGACTTTCGATTGAATTTTACCAACATTTCTGGTATATTTTAGAAGAGCCACTTGTCTTAATGTTCAATGATTGTATTAAAAAGAAGGCATTGGCGACAACTATGAAACAAGGCTTAATCTCCCTGATCACTAAGCCAGATACGGATCCCTTGGATATTGATAACTGGAGACCCATCCATCACTCTCTTGAATACAGATTACAAATTGATTGCATTAGTATATGCTAGGAGATTAAAATCAGGACTAGATTAAATTATTAATGAATCTCAAACAGGCTTTATGAAAAATAGACATATTAGTAACAATATTCGTCTTATTTTTGACCTTTTAGACTATTCTGACCTGATAGAGTCAGGGGCTCTTATTTTGTTTTTAGATTTTTGTAAAGCCTTCGATACAATTGAACATGGCTTCTTACTTCACTCTCTGAAAGTTTTTGGGTTTGGGAATAATTTCATTGATATTATAGAAACGTTTTACAAGGATATTAATAGTTGTATTATTCTGAATACGGGAACCTCTAAAAGATTTGGAATCCATCGTGGTGTATGCCAAGGTTGTCCGATGTCCCCCTTTCTGTTTTTATTAGTTGCTGAACTTCTCTCTATTCAAATTTTAAACAATCAAAGCATTTTGGGATTAAAAATATTTGATAGAGAAGTCAAAATTTCTCAATTGGCAGATGACACTGCATTATTTTTGAAAGATAAAAATCAAGTCAAAACAGCCCTTGTTTTATATTACCAAATTCACTAAATATTCTGGTCTAAAGCTTAATCTTTATAAATGTGACATTTTATACATACACGATTCTATAGACTTATGTATTGAAAATATACCAGTAAAAGACTCTGTGAAATATCTGGGAATCTATATTTCTAAAAATAAAATGACATGTGAACAATTGAATTTTAGGTCAAAAATCAAGAAAACTAAACATATCTTGAACAATTGGCTACAAAGGGATCTTACCATTTTTGGGAGAGTATTACTGTCCAAAGCTGAAGGCCTTTCTAGATTTGTTTACCCTGAAATTTCCAAAGATATCAATAAATCCTTCTTAGATTTTATATGGAAAAATAAACCTTACCAGTTAAAAAAGGACATTATATCAGACAAAAGAGTAGAAGGTGACTTACTTTTTTGACATTAACAATACTTTTAAAATTAATTGGTTAAGAAATTTTCTAAAAAAAAAAGATAATTCTATGTGGTTCTGTATCCCACAACGTATCTTTCAAAAACTTGGAGAGTTATATTTTCTTCTGAAATGTAACTTTCTTCCAGGAAAGTTACCTATTAAATTATCTACATTTCACCAGCAGGTATTACTGGCTTGGAAAGTTTGTTTCCATCACAACTTTTCTCCACATAAAATGCTTTTATGGAACAATATTACTACTAGGAATAAATCGTTATTTTTGCATATAGGTGGTTTGAAAGGAATTTATATTTTGTTATAGATATGTTCTATTAGAGAGGAAACATTCTGTTTTATGAAGACTTTATGCATGTTTACAACTTTCCCATCCCCTTTAAAGAATTTCAACAAGTGGTTAGAGCTATTCCAAATGGGTTGACACAATTAATAAATAATCACCTCTCTTTTGGTAGCAATGAAAGGATATTTCCAGAATTAAAAATGAATGGTATTGAAATATCTTCTTCCTCTTGTAATAATAAAAATATTAGTTATGTGTTATCTTTAAAAGATGTTATTTGTACTTATTCACACAAATGTAAAATGATTGAGTATGTCGTTAACTTTTACACTGTGCAAGGTAAATATTATATTCATAAACAGAAATTTGCGAAATGCATACCAAAGTGTAATCTATTTTGTTTAGAAATGGAAGCTTTGAAAAAGTCTCTAATGCAAATTAGGAAAAAGGAAGAAAATTTGAACTATTGTTTAGTTGTTTATATATGTTTTTTTTTTATTTAGTTTTTACGATGTGGTTATTTGTTTATTTTTCTTCTCTTAAACACTGTTCTACAGTTTAAGATTGCTCTTATATTTTGTGTATCTGGATTTACTTGTTAATATTTTTGTTTGTTCAATCATTCTAGAAACTTGTTAATACCGGCCCATATTTTAATAGTAGAAAGAAAAGGGCAATTTATTTTCCACTTATAAAATGCTTTAGGGTGACAACTAAGACGACGGCGTTGTTGAAGCCATTCTTTTGTTTGCCGTCAAACGGTTGAGCACTGCCGTGTGTGTATCCTGTCGCAAAATGCGGCGAAAAGTCCTACACAACAGTAATAATATGATTAAGGTGTGTACATGTCTTTACTGCACTTCAATAATACGACTAAAATAGGAATACTCCACATGTCTTAATTCGATTATGACTTTAGCCGGATTAAGGTAATCAAAAATCTCTGTTTACATAGTTGATTCTTAATCAGAGTATTGTCTTAATCGTATTAAAATCGGAGTATTGTTGTCCATGTAAACGTACTGACACACAGTCGCACACTTAACACTTTAACTCAGACATTAGAGGAAAAAGTCTCAGAAAAACCTGTCAAGTCTGTAGAATTGCATTGTTGCTGAGAAAAAACATTTATGTGTTCAGTACATTCAGATATGAAATTAATATTTAATTCACTAGCTCTAGTTTAAGACATTACATAAAAAGTTGGCAGTGACTATGAGATAACTATGTGCTATTATAGGCAGGAACAGTTTAATGCTCAAAAAATGAACCAACCTTTGGACTTGGCTGGGAAACACCTTTGTTTTGTTTTATTTTCTAGATTAAATATGCTCTTTTTATTTTAGTTGCGGCCATAAAATGACTGGTTTCTTGAAATATTGTAATTCTTCATTGTTATCTAGGGCTGCCCCCTAATAGTCGACTAATCGTTAGTCGACCAGAAGAGGCTTGGTCGACCAAAATTTTATTAGTCGCATTAAAAATACATAAATAAATACATCCACAGGCGAAGTCACGCAGTTAGTGACGGACAGATCGTTAACGGCTAGTCTATGGTAATACAGTACATCAGGCAGGACATCCAAACTCACCTATCATTCATCGACCTCAAATATGGCTTATCATCTGAAATATGTAAGTATTAGCAACTTTACATGGCTGCTCAATCTAATGTTAACCTAGAGAAATGTGCGCTATTCAAGTGTCTGTGTGGAGTGTGACAGCTGAACAGCAGCGCGCGCTCACTGCAGGACAGATGGAGGCGCCTTCTTCTTCTTTCTTCTTTTAAATTTAATGGCGGTTGGCAAACCAACTTAAATGGTGCATTCCCGCCACCTACTGGATAGGAGTGTGGAGAGATGAAGGCGCTGCTGCGCTTACTTGCTCTTAAAGGGGTCATATGATGCGATTTCAAGTTTTCCTTTCTCTTTGGAGTGTTACAAGCTGAT